GATAATTCATCCCAAAAGAAACGTCTTATTTACCACAATTTTGTCAAAACTATCATCTGACCCGTCTGTCGCCCATGTCCAGTTTAGTAAGAAGTCATCTAAAAGTATGTAAAACCTAACGAATTAGCCGACAAATTAAATAGAGACAATAGAAACACTAGGCTATTCATTATGTAAACAAATAATGGAGGATGGCTATGATTTTTCGTGATGTTTCACGCTGTATAATAATTGACCCTTTACTTTTTTTACGTAATGAATAAACTATAATTTACATACCCGTGCAAAAATGAAATGAATAGTCCTTAAGGTCGAGTAAGTCGTCTAGACATAGGACATTTAGATATTTAGAAAGCTCCTTTCATAAGGATCAAAACTCGTATATGATCGAAAAAAAAAAAGAAATTTTCATTTTCATAAATCGTTTTTTTAGTGTGCAGCAAAAGTTAGGCAAGTCTGGATAGTTTTCCAAATTCCGGGCTTTTTTTTGCAAGAATATTTGATCGCGTAAATTTATCTCTTTAATGGTTCTCTGCGGATTCTTTAAAAAACAAAAATACACGTTGATAATTATTTCACACTTTTTTTACCATACTGTATAATCGACAAAACTATAATTTATCGAGGCCCATCGTTTCACACGCAGCTAAATTTGAATGCGCTTTATTCACTCTCATTATACAAATTATCCCACTTATTGTCAATAATCCCATTCTTCTTCCAACAATGAGCCAGTCAATTCAATTCTCTCCCTTCCAGGGCCGGATTAATGACGCTACCCCACAATGCGAAGATGCATTACAACTATGCGAATTTTCTGAGGGACTCGTCTCGACCCGAATTAGCCAAGTCCCATTACCACAAAGCTTTGAAGTAAGTTCGTAATAATGCCGTATTCGCAGAGAGATAATGCAGTTTCAATCAATTTTCCAGGCTGTGGCCCACTTACGCGAGTGCCCACAATAATTTGGGGACTTTATTGAGCAATGAGCAGGAGGCGGAACAGCACTTTCTAGCAGCCATAAGGTATTCTGCTGACCACGTCAATGCCCATTACAACTTGGGTCAACTTTATAGGTAAGAGACTTTATACTGGATAAATATCATTATTTGGTTTCTTTTATAGATGTTTTTACTATAGCTCGTAACAATAAAAAGTTAATGGGAAATATCATATTTTTGTTTAGTATTTGGTGTTATTGATACCAAGGGAATCAACATATTTCGGTACAATATAAAAATTCTTACGACTTGTCGTCGTAAAATGAAATATTATTTACTTCAATACAGGGTGAGTCAAAAAGGTCTCTATGAATTTCGCTGTAACTTTTCGATTGCGAATTGGTTTTTCTTGGGATAATTTTAAATGATAATCGAAATACTTAAAAGTCTAAAAAGCCATAATAAGTAATAAAAAATATTAGTGACCGATATACACCGAGCTTGGTATTGCAGTGGCTTCTTATAACTGCGTAGTGAAATCTGTATTTCACGACGTTTCGTGTTTATTAATAAATAACAATCATTCCTTTAAGAACAATAACTTTGCTAATATTAATGATTAATGATAATGATGATTAATTTTCGAACATATGTTTATTTGAACTATTTTCATCAAATATCATCAATATTTTCTAGATGAAGTTTTTCCCGACGAAATACAACCCCTTGTATAGACAGCAGTTAATAAGTTGCTGAGAATGCACAGGAATTTTAAATACAAAAACCAAACTTATTCGTAAAGCTGCAAATCGTTTCTGTGTATCATGGTCGTAGAGTACAGATGTACTTACTGTCGCCGGCATTCACCTTGACCGCGAAACTCTTTCTCCAGTCCAGTCTATTATTAGCTTTCGAGTTGTGTACACTTTAAGTCACTTGGGCATATTGCATATTGTTTTTGTGTTTTTATTGTATTTGTTGTACTGTATTGTTGATATTAATTTAATAATAAATTATGGCAGACGTACCCAGGGGTAGAAAATGGCCATTTGCTGGCAAAGTGAATAAATTCATAGGTGAATTCCCGGATTTATTCTATGATGGTGCTAAAATAATTTGTAAAGTGTGCGAGAAAGGTTTGATGTGCTGGGCTAAGCGTGATTGTGGACTTCTCGTAAATAGTGTACACCATAAGAATAAAAAAAAATGGCGTGCCTTCGACAGCACAGTTTATGTTTGATTTACTATTAATGCTGATTGCCTGTGATGTTCCGCTGCACATACTTGATAAACAACCATTTCGAGAGTTCTGGAATAAATACAATGCCCTGGTGAAGTTACCAAGTTGCACAACGTTATGTAACTATCTACCAACTGTACACGTAGACATGGTAAATAAGATGAAATGTGAATTAAAAAATACACGGCTGATAAGACAACAGATTGTAAAAAAAAATCTATTTTAAATGTTATAATACGAGTAGTGGACCCTCTTAAACCGACAGTTCCACTGTTACTAGCTAGCAAGAGGCTAAGTCAGTGTACTAGCGAAACAATTACCAGGGTGGTGCTGGAGACGTTAGAAAAATTTGAACTGTCAAATAGTCAAGTGTTGATGATTGTGACTGATGGCACCATGACAATACGTTCGGTAGGCCGTTCTTTGCAAGAACAAGGTTGTACGTTTATACATGTTACGTGTAAAGTGCATGCTTTACATCTTGTGGCAGAAACTATTCGAAAAGGTTTTCCAGAGGTGGATGCATTAATAGCAAGTACAAAAAAAGTGTTTTTTAAATCTCCTAAACGTCTCCGTGCATTTCGTAGCAAGTGTCCTGGTATTCCTGAACCACCACAGCCGATTCTTACATGTTGGGAAACATGGTTGCAGGCAGCTTTTTATTATGCTGAATATTTCCAACAAATAAAAGCTGTGACACTACAATTCAATCCAGATGAGGCTGCAGCTATTAAGGAAAGCCAGACAAAATTCGAAGATATTTCCGTTGAAACAGCTTTAAATAGTATTGCGAAGAACACCTATAAACCATTACATGAAAGCATAAAAAAAGTTAGAAAACAGTACGTTGTCGTTAGCGGAGTCACTACAAATAGTAGACAAAGTAAACCCACTGCTACACGCTATAGGTGACGCAACAAATTAGCGCGTTAAAGAAAAGTTCGCAAGTGTGTTAAATAAAGACACCGGTTTTACCAAATTAAGACAAATATGTGATGGTGGCCCCAGATCCGTTAAGTGCGTTCAAAGGCTATTTTACGTGTGCGTGTATTACATCAGTAGATGTCGAACGGTCGTTTTCAAAATATAAAAATACACTTTCACTAAAGCGAACATCACTCATGGAGACAACCATAGAGACATACCTGATACTGCAAAATGGCTACACATCTTCTCCAGTTTGTGATAAGCAAACTAGTTCATCAAGCTAGTTAAGAGGGTAAGTTTTACATACATTGTTATAATTTGTAACAGTTTATTGTTTCTCGTATTAGTTAATTTCACGTACGCCACTATCCCACGGAATATTTTTGACAGTCCTACAGTTATTCGTCTAGGTATGCATTTTCATAATTGCGTCCATATAATTAGCATTCTAAATGTATCCTGTATAAGCTGGAAAAATGGCGGCCAGAGAACATAAATCTGCATTGTCTGTACCAGCCTCGGTTATTAAATTGGGATCACTTATAAAAATAGGATCTATCAGAGATGCGGTGTCTTGAGCTATCCGTGTGGGGTCATTTATGACTTGTATGAAACCTAAATTGTCAAAATAAGTAGCAAGTGGGTTACCCATTTTGAATTGGTTAATATTTGCATCACCAACAAGTATCACTTTATCGTTGTGCCCTTCAACATGGAATATATTTCCACGCTACCTCTGACCTTTTTCTTTCTTTCCACTACATATATTGCTTTATAGTTTGTTTCACAAAGAGACTTGTTGCCTTATGTAGCTTCAATCTGATTAATATTATTTAGACCACGTAGGTGTTCACTTACTTGTCTCTCTGTGGATTTGGATTTAATTACGATGGCTGGAAAATATGTGGGCGATACACCTTTCATATCTGAATTATTTACTATGTCACTTAACGTCCATTAAAAGTTTTCCTAACCGAACAAATAGAGGCTAAACAGAATTTCAACTTTGTAAATATCTAACAAACCGAATTACACTTGGTAGCCAGTTAAAGAGGCGCTGCATACTCTGATTACTCTGCGTGGAACGCGGAGCATACATTTTAACTAGGCACTCTGTGCAATATTGTTTATTTTATGTATATCAGTTTGATTGGACTAGTTCTCGAATATTTGTACAAAGTTGCTTGATGATAGACAGTTGTTACGAGATATGTGGATTTCAGGATATTCGAGGCAAATACGTATTTAGATACAAATGGGTTGAGTATTAGTTCTTTAGAGCATTTTACATAAAGATAGAACTGAGTGCACCATCTAGTAGAGGATGGCAAAAGGTAAAATTTATATTTTGTATAATTTTGTGCATAAAATATATATTTTTCATAAGATTATATATATTTTTATAGGAACATACATATTTGCAAATCTTTATAAATAGTTTAAAAGAATTTAATGATGAGAAATATATAAGTATTTCAGTAAATATTATATACCTGTATTTCTAACAATAATTTTGTCTTAAACAGCGCCTCATAGGGGTATTGCAGTGATTCTGAATAACACATTGTATCAAGCGATATGCATTTCATTATTCATTTTATATGTTTGCTTTTAATTATCTACGTATGTCTTTTTTTCAACCACATGAGATAGTACTAGCTACCGATCCCGGACCGTGATTATTACATACAAACAGTTTGTTTGTCAGAAGTTTTTAATATCGTTTTTTTATTATTTTTTTTTATTGAACACCACCGAACACCACAAGTAATGCAACCCCCATATACCTTAAGGTACCTTGTGCGGGAGAGGCTACACATTTAAAGACAACGGTCGCACACCCCAAATCCGAGAATCCTAGAAATAATTTTTACTTTAGATATAATCCGAATTCCGCGACCGGGGATAGAACCCGGAACTCCGGGATGAGAGGCAAGTATCTTGCCGCTCGATCACGAAATCACGAACCATTATCGAATTTATACTCTTTTAAATAAAAGTTGATTTTGGATTTTGAGTGGACTTGAGAGGTCTTTTAACAATTGGGAATGTTACAATTTAATTTAATAACAAAACAATTTAAGGTACAGAATTATATTGACTTGTCATATAGTAACAAATTATGCTGTCATATAAAATATGTAGGTATAAAATGTAAGCCCAATCTATGTAAAACAACTGTTTAACTCTGTTCTATTAAAGTGGTGCAGGGCTTCCCCTGGACCCCTGCATCCCCTAAATGCGCCTTAGCCTGTGACCTTATTTCAAATTGGGTTTGGGCGTTGAACAACTCTGCAAACCTTCAGTATCTGACACCTTCCTCCATCTAGCATCGAATCGCAGAACTTCTCTATCGCACTGAACATTTGATTACAGTTTACTCAAAGTTAGCCTTCTACTAAATCAAATTTCCTTTAAGTTCGACTTTTACTTTGTAGATGTCTCGTATGTTTACGCCATTCAAAGACCATATCTTTAAATAGTTAATGATGCTCTTTAATATTTAATGCAACTTCTGTACTCACTTCATGTTTATGTATGATATTTATTTATGGCGTAAATCTGATTCCAGGGTGAATTATGCATTGCCTTGTTAATAATTGAGCAAGTTTGAGTCACTTTTATTTGAAATATTCCGTCAAAGTCGCGTAAAGTGGTCTCAAAAAAGAATTTAAATTTGTGCATGTAACGACAAGAAGTTTTTTTTGTAGAAAAACTAGAGAGTTTTATAGCTTGATCAGAGCCAGGACCGGATTGGCATTATAAGGGCCCACTTACAAATTTAAATAAGGGCCCTGTATTTTACACACATCAGAGAGCAGTTATTAAAAAGGCCAACGACTTATAAATAAAGCTGGCCGAGGTCACCTGGCCGACAGAGCCGTCATATGACTCATATGTTTACATCATATCATAATACTTGAATAAGTACAATAAATGGAAATAAATTTTAACAATAATGTTACATTTTATAAAAATTTGTATAAAACTCACCCTTTTAAGCAGATTTATGAAGTAGTTTGGTTATCGTCATCACAAAGTGGGGAAGATCTATAATATAATAGCATCAGGTATGTTTCTACAGCTGTCTCCGTCAGCGATGTTCGCTTTGGTGAAAAAGTATGTTTGTATTTTGAAAATGACCGTTCGACATCTACGGAAGTAATACAGGGATAAGTAAAACACTCTGTGAACTAACTTAGCGAAGTTGTAGATACACCATCACAAATTTGTCTTAATTTGCTAAAATCAGGATCTTTCTGTAATACACTCTCGAATTTTTCACTAACGCGATTATTTTTTGCGTCATTTATAGCCTGTAGCTGTGTATTTACGTCGTCCACTATTTGCAGCAATTCCACTAACGACAACGAACTATTTTGCAATTTTTCTATTGCGTCGTGTAGTCCTCCATAATTGTTATTAATAGTTTTTAAATCTGTTTCAAGTGAAACGTCTTGAAAGCTTGTCTGGCTTTCCCTAATAGCTGCAGCCTCGTTAGGGTTGAACTGTAGTATCACAGCTTTTATTTGTTGAAAATATTCAGCATAATAAAAAGCCGCTTTCAACCACGTTCCCCAACGTGTAAGAATGGGCTCTGGTGGTTCAGGGATACCAGGACACTGTCTGTGAAATGCTCGAAGCCGTTTAGGAGATTTGAGAAATACTTTTTTTGTATTTGCTATTAATGCATCTACCTCTGGAAAACATTTTCGAATCGTTTCTGCCACAAGATGTAACGCATGCACTTTACACGTAACATGTAAAAACCTACAGTTGTCTCTCTGAAGAGAACGGCCTACCACGCGCATTGTCGCGGCACCATCAGTCACAAACATCAATACTTGACTTTTTGAGAGTTCAAATTTTTCGAATGTCTCCAACACCACACGCGTAATTATTTCGCCAGTACACGCAGTTAGTCTTTTACTAGCTAGTAAAAGTGGAAATGTTGGTTTAAGAGGGTCCAGTACATGTACTATAATATTTAAAATAGAATTTTTTTTTCAATCTGTCGTCTCGTCAATACATAACCAGAGCCGTGTATTTTTTAATCCACATTTAATCCTATTTACAATGTCTTCACGAACAGCTGGAATATATCTACGTAACGATGTACGACTTGGTAAGTTCACCTGGGGATTGTATTTATTCCAAAACTCCCGAAATGGTTGTTTATCCAGTATGTGTAGCGGAATATTACAGGCTATTAACATTAACAATAAATCAAACATAAACTGAGTTGTCAAAGGCATGCCATTATTTTTATTTTGATGTTGCACGGTATTGATATGACGACGACAATCTGTTTTGTGCCAGCACATTAAGTCTTGATTGCAAACTTTACAAATTATTTTGCATCCGTACGGTCGTTTTTTACCCTTTGGCGCGTTTGACATTATGTATAATTTATAGATACAACCTCACGCATTAACCTTTCAAATAAGACTGCAGCGTAAATCACTTCTAAATCGGCACGTGTGACGCCAGCGCAAGACCGTGGCTGTACTCCAGCCACTTCGGCCAACTTTACTTATAAATAAGGATTATTTTATTTACATTAAATAGCAATACATATTACTTAAATAGAATTTTTAAACATCATAACTTTAACAGACAAAATGTCGAAGTTTTTACGAACATGTTTTGCTAAGAAATAATTTAAATGAATTTACCATGAACATATTCATCCCAGACTTCGACCTTCACTCTTCGATCAATCTATTTCAAGCAATTAGCCGAAATCCGCCATATTGGAGACCCATTCCATAACTTATTTACACGAAGAATGAGGAATAGTTAAGAGTTTTTATCTGATAATTATTCTTAAATATCGATGATATTAGTACCCGAGGAACGTCACATTGAAGGCAATCTTATGGGAATCCCTATGAAATAATAATTTGATGTTGATATGACGTCACTCCCCAGGTAACACTAATGCTCTTATTAAGATCTCCAAGGTCGCTTTAAAATTATACAATAAAACTTTGAATAAAACCAAATGATCTTCAAGACAAGCTTAGGATCACCATAAAGCAGCTTCTAGCCAAAAAGGGCCCATCCTAAAAGGGTCTTGAAGACTAAATTTTAAAACTATATTAAAAACCATTTAGTTTTAATTTCATATTCTTAAAGAGTTCTTCAAGGCAACCTTAAATTTATGTATTAAAACGTTTTGCATTTAAAATAAAATTGCAGCAGACTAAATTGCCTTGAGAATCATTATAATTAATCCTAAAAGGGTTTTATTTTGTTTTAAAGTCGGACAACTTTATGCGTGAAATAGTTAAAACAACGGCAAGTCTCTAATGGGGCAGAGTGGTAATATTTTAAACGTAACGCATATAAAGCTGATCAAAAATAATATTCAAATGCAAACTATTCTGGTAAAAATTACCAACGGATGGCACTTTTCTGACAAAATGTAATAAAATACTTCTACATAACTCGAGCGTCACCAATATAATGTTTTTTTTATTATCTAAAAAAATTTTTTAAAAATATCGTAAATTTTTATTTTGCATTTAAACTTCCAAATGCATTTTTTTCATTAAATTGCATGTTTGGGCACACCGTCCTTCAGTTATTTAAGAGGATGTAAAGCGCATATATTTCAATAATATTTTTTTCTTTGGCTATTGAAAATATCCATCATGGCGGGTCTGTATCTTATATAAAAAATGGCGTAGTCTAGATAAAAACTGATGCAAGTTAATAGAACATTTTAAATATTACAAGACTTAAAATAGCGTTTTATTTACCACTTTAAGTACAATTACTCTCCCAGACATTTATTTACTCTTTCTTTTAAAACTGAGTTGCTTTAATATGTTCAAACTCGTGGCCTTATTGATTTAAAGGGATCTGGCGCGCGCATGAAATCCTAACCTTAAAATTGTGCCGGTTTTGTGATTGCTGGATTTAGTAACTTCGTTTTAATTTAAAATACTTGTCACTAATATTTTCCATTTTAAATATGTCTTCTAATTTTCATTCATGCATAAAGTAGGTACACGGACTGCACTGGTTCACTAAATCAGCAATCAGTTTATTGAGCAGATGGCGTGTTTTCTCCGATTATGGAGGGGGTAGAATTAGTTTTAATAAAGTCATCAAAAATCCAACAGGCATTTCTTTTAATCAAATTGACTAAATTAAAACCTTTGAACTTTAAAATATTTTTAATTTACTCTTTTAAAAGTAAAAACTATGTTTTAGGATTTAATGTGGAATTTCATTGAGCATATAGGCTTAAGATAAAATAGTTTTCTTAATGGGTTTTAATGACTACATCAAGGATACTCCATAAAACTACATTAAAACCGTTTGTTCCAGAATGGATTGTTTTAAAACCAACTTGCTATTTAATTCTTTAAAAGGCAAATTAGTTTTAAAATAGCCAATGTCAAGAGTATTATAAAACTAGTATAAGATCAATAGGGCATTAGGAGCAAACAGTTTTTTTATTTTAATTTAAAGAGTGCATTAAATTCTTTGCATAAGAATCAGTGGTCTTTAAGAACTTTTAGTTTATCTTAAGGTAATTTTAAAACCACTATCATTTTATTGAACATGTTAAAGCACTTTTAAAACCTAAATAAATCAAAAGTATCTTAGAGTTGTTACTTGGGTCTTTTGATAACATGACGGTTCATTGTTACCTAGGATGAAACATCCCATGGCTAGGTATATAAAAGCGTTCCCTAAGTTGGTCTCAGAACATTTGAAACAGTAGGACTAATAGTCCTAAGGTTATCCTGAGGAAATTTGAGGATATTCTTATAAACCAAGCTTAATATCCTCAGGATTTTTAGTGGGCAATTTTACGCTAATTGGGTTATAATTAAAAAACATAAATACAAGTTTTACAGATCAAATCTACTAATATTACTGTTTTAATTTATATTTAATTTCTTTTACCTACTTGCAGAAAGAGCAACAGATCCTCAGAATCTGAACACAT